TCCAATCGTTGACTAATTAGGCTCAAAACATTCGTCTCGCAAAGTATAACTAAACTGTGCAATTAGTTTTTGATTTCGTCAACATTTAGTACTACATGCATGTACCGCAAGTTTAATATGACGGAAAATCTTCTTTTTATATAGTGCCAAAGTTGAGAGTTAGGGGTGAACTAAACATGGCCTCAGATTGACAGACAGGGAGCTTGCAGCCCCACAGCGAGCGCTTAGTGAAATCATACCTTTGCATTGCCTATCCACAGTCGCAGTCCATATCCTAGCTTACATTCACTTGACCTAAATTATTCGCGAAAGAATCAGCATCTCAGGACCGTATGAATTGACAAATCCTACCAATCGAGCTCGTTTCTTGTTTCCCAAGGACGCACGGATCTCGCAGTACGGGTTGGTGGTCTTTGCCAGTCCTAGTAGCCGCGATGGAGCGATGGCGACCTCCAGACGCAATAAGACTGATCTCGAGCTTAAAAAATGCATCCACGCACCACAGATCCACAATACCGTGCACATCCTATAAACAGCACTACACAGGAACCATCCTCTCCGGACGTGCGTCGTCATCAGTTGCGTATGCACAAGTGTATAGGGACAGCTGAACTAATCTTCTTGGTGTATGTGTGTCAGTGTGTGTATATATGCAGCAACCAAGGATGGCGCCACACACTGCCACAGCAATACAGCACACTAACACCAACTTGCGACCGATCTATCAGAAACACATCGGCCATCGTGGATAAGGCGTATGTCGCCATCCTTTCCGTCGCCTTCCTCTTCCTGCTCCACTACATCGTGGGCCGCGCCGCCGCCGGCGGCAAGGGCAAGCGGCTGCCACCGAGCCCTCTGGCCATTCCGTTCATCGGCCACCTCCACCTTGTCAAGACGCCGTTCCACTCGGCGCTGGCCCGCCTCGCGGCGCGCCACGGTCCGGTGTTCTCCATGCGCATGGGGCACCGCCGCGCGGTGGTCGTGTCCTCGCCGGAGTGCGCCAAGGTGTGCTTCACGGAGCACGACCAGAGCTTCGCCAACCGCCCGCATTTCCCGTCGATCCGGCTCGTGTCCTTCGACGGCGCCATGCTCTCCGTGTCCAGCTACGGGCCCTACTGGCGCAACCTCCGCCGCGTCGCCGCCGTGCAGCTCCTCTCCGCGCACCGCGTCGCCTGCATGTCCCCAGTCATCGCTGCCGAGGTGCGCGCCATGGTGCGCCGGATGAACCGCTTAGCCGCGACGGCGCCCGGCGGGGCCGCGCGCGTCCAGCTGAGGCGACGGCTGTTCGAGCTCTCTCTCAGCGTGCTTATGGAGACCATCGCGCAGACCAAGACCTCCCGCTCCGAAGCGGACGCCGACACTGACATATCATCCGAGGCGAACGAGTTGACGCAGATTTCCCAAGAGATCATGCCACACCTCGGCACTGCCAACCTGTGGGACTACCTGCCGTTTCTGCGGTGGTTCGACGTGTTCGGCGTGAGGAACAAGCTCATGGCTGCCGTGAGATGGAGGGACGCGTTCCTGCGGCGGCTCATCGACGCGGAGCGGCGGAGGCTGGACGATGGCGGCGACAGCGAGAAGAAGAGCATGCTAGCCGTGCTGCTCTCTTTGCAGAAGTCAGAGCCGGAGCTGTACACGGATACCATGATCATGGCGCTGTGCGGGGTGAGTGTTTCAAATAGTACCTTCTTTTGGGCAAAGTTTGCTAAACTTATACCTTACTATTACAATTACAACAAACGGAAGTAGTGATCATCTCACAAGCAATGTACCCTGATATACACTGCATGTCGCTTTCTTCTTTCCCCCCCTGTGATGAAGGACTTATTTGGCGCCGGAACGGAGACAACATCGTCCACGACAGAATGGGCCATGTCGCTTCTGCTCAACCACCCGGAGGCTCTCAATAAGGCACGGGCAGAGATCGACGCGGTTGTGGGCAGCTCCCGCCTGATCACCCCGGACGACGTGCCCCGCCTCGGCTACCTGCACTGCGTCATCAACGAGACCCTGCGCATGTACCCGCCCGCTCCGCTGCTGCTGCCGCACGAGTCGTCCGCGGACTGCAAGGTCGGCGGCTACGACGTGCCCCGCGGCACGCTGCTGATCGTGAACGCGTACGCTATCCACAGGGACCCAGCGGTGTGGGAGGACCCGGCCGAGTTCAGGCCAGAGCGGTTCGAGGACGGAAAGGCCGAGGGGCGGCTGTTGATGCCGTTCGGGATGGGGCGGCGCAAGTGCCCCGGGGAGACGCTCGCGCTCCGAACTGTCGGTATGGTGCTCGGGACACTGATCCAGTGCTTCGACTGGGACAGAGTTGATGGTGTCGAAATCGGCGTGACCGAGGCCGGCGGGCTGACCATGCCCCGGGCCGTCCCGTTGGAAGCCACGTGCAAGCCTCGTGCAGCTATGAATGATGTTCTTCAGAAGCTCTGATATAATATTTTGGCATATCCTAGGTTCTCATATATAGCAGTTTATAAAATACAGTATATATAGCCGCATATATGTATGAACAATTACTCAATTAGTACTACCTGTGTTGCCAGCGTGCTTTAGCAAATTTCATCTTCTGCGGGTTGTCTTGTACTGAGAGCATCTGCAACAGTATTTCGTAAACCCACTCTCTAAATCACTATTTCGAGAGCCTTTCAATAAAAATCGCTGTCTAAGTCTCTATATCTTTTTTACCCTTCAATAATTTCTCTATATCTGATTCGACAGTTTCTACAACCATACTGTTGGGTGCTTCCGGTGGTTGTAAATATAGTAGTCCATTTAGGTTTGTTGAAAGTCTAACTTTTTTTACCTTGACCATCAATATCTAATATACAAATAGTCCACAGAATATTGATGCTACTAGATTCATTATAGAATTCTTTTTTATTTAAGATAATGTATTTTTTAGATATAGTGCTATTCAGAATGGAAAAATGACTTTTTTTAAGGAACCACGTGATTCCATTAACCTTGTGAACCAGATAAATCACTGGTCACCAACACATGAATACAATGTGGTAGATCACCAGGACAAAAAACAACATCCTCCTGACAAAGACTACCAAATCTAGCCAATTCATGTGCTACTCTATTACAAAGGCGTGGAGCATAAATGACTTAAGCTTCAATAAATTCCTCTGTAAATAACTCCTTAAGATCACGCACCATACCTCCCATGGACGATAACCTAAAGTCAAGAGATTTCAAAGCTCGAGTGACCAGCGACGCATCTATTTCGAGAATTATTCGATTGATGCCCAAGCACTAAGCTGCCTTCACCCCTTTGATGCAGGCAACGTCCGTTTGGATCACCTCTCCCTCTTCATCTCTGAGCCCAGAGCCCTTTCCTTAACACAAGCCACCATCAACGTTTATTTTCTTCATGCCATTCAAAGGATAGACGACATCATTTGAGCCTAGACATTGTGGAGATGCTGACCTGCGTGAAGGATCGGGAGCTAGGCGATGCAAAGGCGCAACACTGCATGGAGAACAAGGAACTTGCATTGGCAATGCTTTTAGTGATTTGTAGACGAATAAACTTCTGCTACTGTGCAATAATGTAACTGGACTTTGAACATTTAGAGCACGATTGTACTCTTTTTTATATAGGTTTTATATTACAAGGTGTGAGTTTTTACCTAGATAGATTTTAATGAGGCAACCATTGCACAAATAGTTCAAACTTATATTGCTATTTGAAAATTGAACTCTGTAGCCCAGTGTGTTTCCGTACAATATGATGTGATCTGTGAATATGTGTATGAATATGTCATGATGACATTGTGTGGTGATGTATATAAACAGGTTATATTTTGCTAGGTACTTTGCTTTGTTCTAAACTTGAGACGATAAGGATGAAATGAATGTAACATTTGAAGTGCTACTTCAATTGTTGAATAAATGAGTGGTCATTTGTGGTTACAGTGCCTGAGCTAGCACGGGCAAGCCAGTCGGGTAGTATTTGTCGTATGGCAGCTCACAGCTAAGAAAATATAGGGCTCGACCACAACAAGGCATGGCAAGGCAAGACATGGAGAGCTAACCGTGTCTATCGTGTCCGGGTCTAACCGTATCATGCCACGACCCTGTTTCAATCCATTAGCTCATAGTAGTTAGCTAGCTAATAGTACATAGTTAATATTAGCTAGCTAACTATTATCAGAGAGGGTGTTTAGATACACAACTAATTGATAAGGTTGGGTTGTTGGTCCACCTATTAGCTGTTATTATCTGATTTGGTCCAACTACGTACTAAGATAGTTGTTATATATAGAGGTACATATAATAATTAGCCAGTCCATTATCTATACATGTTTGTATACAAAAGAGATAATTATTAGCATATAGCTAGTCTACTATGTGCATAGAACCAAGCAGGACTTTAGTAGGTGCGAGATTGTCACACACATGGCGTGAGCGCTAATTAAAATCATCCCCTTGGCGTGTTACACAGTCCCATTCCATATGCAACGTTGACTTCGTCTTATTAGTTTTATAGTATTCACCTAACCTAAATTACTTGTGAAAGAATCAGCTGCTCAGCATTGTATGAATTAACTAATCCTACCGATCGCGTGATTTTCTTGTTTCCCAAGACGCTTGGATCTCGCAGTGCAGGTTGGCCTTTCACCTTTGCCACTACTCCAAGAAGAAGCCGCGATGGTGGGGATGAGTGATGGCAACCACCACAAAGACACAAGAAGACAGTAGTGGTCTCGACTCTTGAGCTTAAAAAATGCATCGACGCACCATAATATCGGGCAGGTCCTGTAAACAATACTACACAGGATGACAGGAACCATCCTCTCCGGACGTCCGTCATCAATTACGAGTGCAAAATTGTTTGTTATGCTTCAAATCGTACGATCCTTGTCAAGTTTGAATCTCGGTGTGTGTATATATGCAGCTATGGCGCCACACAACCTCCAACTCGCGATCAATCGACTGGAAGAAACACACACCAGCCAAGCCATCACTCCGTCACTAGGCGGGACATGGATGAGGCCTATGTCGCCTTCCTCTTCTTGCTCCACTACCTCGTGGCCCGCGCCGGCGCCGGCGGCAAGGGCAAGGGCTCGCAGCAGCTTCCGCCGAGCCCTCCGGCCATCCCGTTCCTCGGCCACCTCCACCTTGTCAAGACTCCGTTCCACGCGGCGCTGACCCGCCTCGCGGCGCGCCATGGCCCTGTGTTCTCCATGCGCATGGGGTCCGGCCGCGCCGTGGTCGTGTCCTCGCCGGAGTGCGCCAAGGAGTGCTTCACGGAGCACGACGTGAACTTCGCCAACCGCCCGATGTTCCCATCGATGCGGCTCGTGTCCCTCGACGGCGCCATGCTCTCCGTGTCCAGCTACGGCCCGTACTGGGGCAACCTCCGCCGTGTCGCCACCATCCAGCTCCTCTCCGCGCACCGCGTCGCGTGCATGACCCCCGCCATCTCCGCGGAGGTGCGCGGCATGGTGCGGAGGATGGAGCACGCCGACGCGGCCGCCCCCGGCGGCGCCGCGCGCATGCAGCTGAAGCGGAGGCTGTTCGAGCTCTCCCTCAGCGTCCTCATGGAGACCATCGCGCAGACCAAGACATCCCGCACCGAGGCCAACGCCGACACGGACATGTCGCCCGAGGCGCAGGAGTTCAAGCAGATTATCGACGAGCTCGTGCCGTACATGGGAACGGCCAACCGGTGGGACTACCTGCCGGTGTTGCGTTGGTTCGACGTGAGGAACAAGATCCTCGACGCTGTGAGCAGAAGGGACGCGTTCTTTAGGCGGCTCATCGACGGGGAGCGGCGGAGGCTGGACGATGGCAACCATAGCGAAAATAAGAGCATGATTGCAGTGCTCCTCAGTTTGCAGAAGTCTGAGCCCGAGGTCTACACTGACACTGTGATCATAGCTCTGTGCGCGGTAAGTGCTTCTTCTACTACCATATATCACCTCTCTTGTCTTGACAAAAAACTAATAAGTAGACCATTTTCTCAGTTTTTTTATCTATAAAGTATGTCTACTTCCAGTCTAGTTCTGCAAAGCACAAAAATCTCTCCACAAACAGGGTCTTGAACGATTCTTATCAAATTTTGTGGTCTGAGAAGGTGACGAACAGCGGCTTCAACAATCAACAGCCGGTCCGGGTGAATGCTCCGTCCCCAAGTAGCAAACAACATCATCTGGGGTCCAGGTGCCACCCCTAGCCGCTAAAACGCAAGGTTGCTCGCATTGAAATGGCTTCATCCGAAGTAAGACATCTAGAAATTCCTAATATGAACAAAACTGATACCGAACCCAAAATCAATTGGAACTAAATGCAAATAGGGGGTGACCAAATCCATCTAACCCTCACGGGGCGTTGCCCACGATGACAATGCAAGGTGCTCGAGGCAGAGCAAGTACAGGCAACAGATCAAAATGAAAATGAAGCAACAGGTGAAGAGAATGAGGATGAAGCACCAACGGGTGGAGAGAACTAATGGATTCATATTAGGGTTTTTAGTTGGTCGAACCGCTGCCAAGGCGCCGACAGGACCCGAGGGGAGTTGGGAACGGGCCGGGCGCTTCTAGGTTTGTTGCCAAACGAACGGTCCAGATTGATCAGCAGCGAGAATGGATGGCACGGGATAAGTTAAACAATGTCCGTATTAAGCCGACCATTGCCACGCTAATCTAACGCTATAATACAGCGATTATCAGCGGTTAAACTGGTTTTAGATTCTCCTAGAAACAACCGCAACCGTACGTGATAGTTTTTCCCCTTTTCTTTCACAAATATACAGAAAAACAAAAAAACATTCATCGAGAGATCAAATCTGAGCACTGGCATTTTGGAAGTAGTATTGGAAAGAACTTGCTTTGCATTTCATATAAAAAGGTGGCATTGAAGATATCAAATCTGCGCGAATAGAATTTTTTTCATTGATTCATTATGTACATGTAACATATAGATATAATTTGGACGAATACATGATTGAACTTGTCCGGAAGCATAATAACTAACCTAAACTATTAAAACTACTTATACTAACTATAAATTACTTAATCTAAACATCGCCTCGCTCGCTTGGGAGGAGGCGAGGCGAAGTCGGAGTGGGAGTCGGAGTCAGAGTCGTCATCTTCGGCGTCGGTGTCGTCCTCGTCCTTCGAGTCCTCTTTCTCGGAGCTCCACAGAGGACTATAATCAGAAGACCTCCAGTTGTCGGAGGAGACGTCCTTCTCGGAGGACTGATGGGCTGCTTGGAAACTTGATGGGGTTGTCCGACATTTTCTTTGTAGATTGAAAGAGAAGGGGATGATGGATGAAGAAGAGGGGTGATTTTAGAGGGCACCGGGCTTGAAGTATATGTAGAGCAGTGGGTACAGCTCTTAGGCTTCATGCGGCAGAAGTAATAGTGATTTGACGGCCTTGAAAGTTGAGGCAATTCAACACTCACGCTGAATTTACCGCCGCTTGATCAAACGCTAGTTTAGGGCCGACGGACAAAATACGTATCCCAGTCGGCTCGGCTTTTCATGCGACGGAGCAAATGCAACCCTAATACCACTGCCGCATCTAACGTTAACCCATCGGTGGTAGAAGTCTGAATTGCCGGTTTCATTCCCAGGAGGCCTCGCTATTGTTCCAACCGACGGTGAAAGTATCACACGGTCGCTTCTATCGCTACGGCAGCGAAAGTGGCGACATTGATAAATCAATTTGTAGTAGTGATTAGGCTACTGGAGCAGCTGAGTCACAATTACCATATAATAGATAAGGCAAAACAACTTTACAAATTATGTGGCCGCATTCCTAGAATCAAGAATTTAAGCGTCAAATATTTGTTATCTGGATCACTATTTTCAGTGTATGGATCTTAACTATTTTCAGTGGATCAGACCTGTGAAATGCACATCTGCTCTGAAAAATTCTAACATTTTATAATAACAATCATTGGATTTACTGAAACCATGAACTGTTTAGACATTCAGATATTAATTGATTCTTGTATCAGGAAAAATAAAGTCCATAACTGATTAAGCACCGTCTACATCTGCCAAAACTGATAGCTGCAACATGAACAAAATAAAAATCAACAATGAGCTAACTTTGGATAAAACGTGTTAACATTAGAATGTCTATCTGAATTTCTTTTCTAGAATTACTGGTCTATTTTTGTAATCACCTTATCCTCCAAAGTTTAAAACACTTCAGAAAAGACTGATAATACCAGCAGGGCCAGCTTCATGCTTATGTATCATTGCAAAATCAGTTATCAGGGAGACGCATAATGCGTCTCAGTTAGATGCATCCCCTGGATGAGGTAGAAGACATCTGGGACCTTGTTGGAGTAAGACAAGCTGCCATTGGCCTGCGAATCACGACATTAAATTTGGTCATTCGGGTAATTCATGTTAGATTGATCTCCTAACCAATAAGCCCAACGGCCTATTGGGCCTTGGTCACGCGCCCTGATCGGGGGCGCCCAACCCTACATGGTTGGTGGGCCCCCGTCGCACTGCGCTATATAAAGAGGTGGGGGCCGGCGGCTCAAAGCACGAGGTTCGCCGTGAGCCGCAAACCCCACCGACAAACCCTAATTCCGATCTCGAAGAGGGTGCGCAGCCAGCGACGGGAAGCCGCCACTGTCATCACCGTCATCCAGTCGCCACTGCACTGCATCACCGTCTCCACTGCGTCGCCTCTCTTCACCGACCGTCGCTGCCCGTGAGCAGACTTCACCGACGAAGCTGATGGAGGCCTCTGGATCCACTCCCTCTGGGATCTCAGGTTCGACACCTTCTCCTTCCTCTAGATAGCATTCTAGGTCTACATCGTTGCTGTTGTCTACCGCTCTTGATGTCTACCCTCTAGACCGACTGCTAGATGATTCAAGGATTGTAACAATTCAGTCATTCGCCACATTTCAGGCAGCGATGGTAACTGAAAGAGGAGAATGTGCAGACCTAGAAATGGTGGTAAAGGGATTGAGGGGATGAAATGTGCTGGAAGGTGGTCGGCGGCAGCGGTGGAAGAGGACTCGACGCCGTTGAGGTATGCAGCGGTGGAGTCCTCGGAGCACAGGAAGAGCGAGAGGGTGAGCTGGAGGTGGTAGGCCTCCTCCGTCTGCTGCGCCTAGCTCTTCCTGTGCATATGCACTTGGTTTATGCTGTCATTTATCGCAAGATTAGCTCACACATTTCATCAAACGCCTGAAGGGCAAACAAGAAAAAGGGAAAAGCACACTGCATCAGGAACAATGGACCTCGACGAGCTTACCAGAGACGTCTGTTAAGTGGAGGCAGCGGAGAGACGGGCGCCGTCCGCAGCGGCGGCGGGGCAAAACGGGACGGCGATGGAGCAAGCGAGGAGGAGGCGGTGTGTCCTCGCTCCTCGCGTCCGTGGCGGCGGCGGCGGCGGCGAACGGAAGGGCGAGGGAACAGGAAGAGGAGAGGCGGGAGACGGCGCGTCGTCACTCCTCGCATCCGCAGCGGCGGCGGGGCGAGACAGGAGGGCGACAGAGCACGCGAGGGAGGCGGCGCCGGCGCGTCCTCGCTCCTCGTGTCCGCGGCGGTACCGAGCGGCGCAGAAGCGGCGCGCGAGGGCCCGAGGAGGCGAGGACGGGTCGGAGCGAAGGCCGTTCTGCGCCGAGTTGCTGCGCGCACTGGGTTGAGAGAAAGGGGAGGCGAGGGAGGTGGTGAAGAGAAGGGCATCGGGACTAGGGGAGGAGGGCGGCGAGCTCGCAGCTGATTGGGGAGTCCTGGCTTCAGCGGATTGAGGGTGCGAGGCGGTGGCGTGGGGGGCAGGTATCGGAGAGGCAGCGTGGAGTCGGTAATTTTCGTTCTGCCGCTGTGAACGATTCCAGTTTGATCTTTTTAGGAGTAGAGAAAATGCATGTCATGTTCACCAAGTCACATTACGCACCAGGGCCGTTTCCACTTCCGGTCAGTCAGCCTCACCCACCCTACTGGGGTGTCGGTTTAGGTCATGTGAGGATACTCGTGACTTCTGTAATCAAAACTTGGGTTCCTCTATTTTTTTAAAAAAATGAATTAGAAGTGTTTTTTTTTCTTATGTTTGAGTATTGGGTTGCACGGTAATTGTTCTTTTGGGCCAAATTTACCTAAAGTTTGGTGATATTTTTTTTTATCTAAGGCACGGCTTTATTGTGTTTTGAGTCCAAAATTAATACAATATTTCGCTACAAAAGGCATGTTGTGATTCATAATTATTCGCAAGAAAAAAGATGGGGAGCAACACACAAGCATGCTATATAGTGCAATGGGTCTATGCCCCTATTTGGGACCGCTTATCTCGCGATGGCGGTCGAGAGAAGCCAAGAATCCTGCCAAATGTCGTGTGGTCTGCTCAATTCTTATCATCGCGTCCGACTCCACCACCGCGAGAATGAACAACCAAGATGATTTCATCTATCGTGGTTCCCATACCGCTGCTCATCTATCTCAACACGTGTTGGGAGACCACGATCCCAAACAAGGTCTATAAAAGATGATACAGTTAAAACTTACGACCAGGACTGTTACGAGAAACCTACAATTCGTCGTGACGTCGTTGTAGACGTACAGGGGCGGATCTGGAGGGGGCTGCCGGCCTCGTGGCCTGAAACATTTGAGAACGAGTCCTAGAGGCAGCCCAACAGCCCCCTCCACAGCCCAAGTCGCAGGGAGTTCCCAACCCTAGCTGCTATAGCCAGGCGCAACAGCTCATGTCCGCTCCGCGACTCCGAGTCTCTGTCCGACGCTTGCTCAGTAGTTGGCTAGTCGCTCCCACAATCTTGTTGCCCCGGCGCTCGCCTCGTCCAGTGTCCGGCCTCCAGCGTTCGAACCTCCGTGGTCCCTGCCTAGTTGCCTCATGCCCTCCCTGTCGTGGCGTTGCTGCATGCCCGCCTGCGGCCTGCCCTTCTCTGTGGTCGGCCACGGCGAGGCCAGGCGAGCGACAGATCCCGTCGTTACTGGCACTGAATCCCTGCGCGCGCCCCGCTTTGGCGGCCGGTGGTGTCCCGTGTTCGGGGTGGCCACGTCCGGACGCGACGCGAGAGCACCGGGCGTGGTTTGGTTGACTGGTGCAGCGGGAGTGCCGGCATCAGGGGGCAATATTTGCGAGGCGACAGCTTCTCCTCGCCGTACTCTGGGTACAATTTCTAGCCTTCTAATTTAGCCACCCTCTTAGTCTGTTTCTGGATCCGCTCTGAGTCTGTTTCTAGATCCGCCACTGGTTGTAGAGAAAACTAAACAATGTCTATCAAAGATGAAACAGCAGGAGTGAGCCCAACCAACGGAAAACTTAGAACTAGAATGTTATGAGAAAACTACAATTCGTTGTGACGTCGTCGTAGAGAAAACTGCACTCACATGACATGAGAGCTAAGCTGTAGAGCACCGTATCTTAGCCTGAGCCACTGATGTCACTGGCACTGGCATGCCCGGCCTGTACCGTCCGTCCGTCCCGCTGCAGCCTCCTATGTCGCGCGCTTTCGTCGCCATATGGGTCCGTTTATCGCTGTCGCCAGTAGCCACGCGCCAGGCACCGAGGCCAGGAGCTCGTCCATATCGATACCGTGCACTGTTCCATGCACTTCCACATGTAACACCATGTTTTTATCCTACTGTTTGTAAGTACTCACGCGTACGTGCAGTTTTCGTCTTCCTATATAGCATGGCCCCGTTTGGTCCTTTAGTCCAGGAACTAAACTTTAGTCCTGTACCTTGTTTAGTTCCATGGACTATAGGAAACTAAAGGACATTAAAACTGCTAAACAAAGACTAAAATACTCTTCTTATTTTCTTCTTCCCCTCTCCCATGGACCTAGCCTCTCCCTCTCTCCATCCCGTGCGTGCATCCCGGGCGCCATTGACAGCATGGCCGCCGAGCACTCCGCGACATGGCCCTCCTCCTCCTCTCCGCCCCTTCACGTGCCCTCTCGCTCGCTCCATCGCCGCGAATCAGCACCGCCGCCGCCATGGCCGGGGTTGACCCGAGCTTCCCAATCTCTCCACTTCGACTACATCCAGCCTCGGTTTCTCCCACGTTGTCATCACAGTGGCCCGACGAGGCTGCGACACCACTTCTTGGCATGGAACGGAGCCCACAGCACCACCCCTCCGACCTCGGCGAGGTGCGCCGCCGCCCCTTGGCAGTGGCCTGACGCGCGCGCACCCTTGGCCGCCGAGCATTGCCGGGAGTGGAGGAGCTCCGCCAGGTGGGGAGGGGTGCGCCACCGGGAGGGGGGGGGGAGGGGAGGGGCACGGCACCAAGCAGCGCAGGCTGTGGGAGGGTGGGGACCGCACAATTGAGGGGCAGGGCAAGTCCATTTGGGCCAGTAGTCTCAAATGGCCACCCTTCAAGGGACTACAGGCTAGTACTCTCAAAAACCACTTTAGTCCGTCTTTAGGGCCTGTTTGGATCGGTACCTGAAAACGACGCCTGGGCCAGGCAGCTTCTCCAGGCCGTCGATTTCCGGCGCCTGGGGCTGGATCGACCTGCCTGGGCGGGGCTCCCCAGGCGAGGCCGCGATCCAAACAGGCCCTTAGTCCCTATGTTTGACAAACTAGGGACTAAATGAGACTTGTTTGGATCTAGTGACTAAAGTTTAGGAGGTGTTATATGGAGGTGTCGCATGGGGTGTTTGATACTAATAAAAAAATAAATTACAGAGTCCGTCAGTAATCCGTGAGACGAATTTTATTAAGACTAATCAATCCATCATTAGTACATGTTTACTGTAGCACCACATTGTCAAATCATGGATTAATTATGCTTAAAAATTCGTCTCGCAAAACAGTATCAATCTATGCATTTAATTTCGTAATTAGTTTATATTTAATACTCCATGCATGTATCAAACATCCGATGGGACAACGACTAAAGTTGAGGTGAATCTAAACACCCCCTGAATTGAGGGACTAGTCAGTGGTCCCGTCTTACCAAACCGGACCTGTATATATGGCTCATGCTGCTACGCTGCTGCTACGCAAATGCAACACGTCTAAGCTTAACCATGGATCAGGCGGCCTACATTGCCATTCTCTCCCTAGTCTTGCTCTTCCTCCTACACCGTGTCCATGGTTTTGCCAGTCGCAACCTCAAGAACAAGAGCATGCGGCTGCCGCCGAGCCCTCCCGGCGCCATCCCCTTCCTCGGCCACCTCCACCTCATCAAGAAGCCATTCCACGCCACGCTGTCCCGCCTCGCCCAGCGCCACGGGCCGGTCTTCACCCTGCGCCTCGGCTGCCGCGACGCTGTGGTCGTGACATCCCCGGCGTGCGCCAGGGAGTGCTTCACGGAGCACGACGTGACCTTCGCCAACCGCTCGCTGCTCCCCTCGCAGAGGCTCGTGACCTTCGACGGCGCCGCGCTCGGCACCGCCAAGCTACGGGCAGCACTGGCGCAACCTCCGCCGCATCGCCGTGGTGCAGCTCCTCTCGGCGCGCCGCGTCGGCTGCATGTCGGGCGTCATCTGCGGCGAGGTGCGCGCCATGGTGCGGCGGCTGCACCGCGCGACGACGACGTGACGGCGGCGCCGCGCGGGTCGAGCTGAAGCGCAGGCTGCTCGAGCTCTCGCTCAGCGTCCTCATGGAGGCCATCGTGGAGACCAAGGCGGCGCGCCCGGAGTCAGACGCGGACGACGACACCGACATGTCGCCGGAAGCGCAGGAGTTCAAGCAGGTCATCGACGAGGTCTTCCCGTACGTCAGCTCGGTCTTGTGGGACTACCTGCCGGTGTTGCGGTGGTTCGACGTGTTCGGCGTGAGGAACAAGATCCTTGCCGCGGTGAGCAGAAGCCAGAAGGGACGCGTTTCTGCGGCGGCTGATCGACTCAGAGAGGCGGAGGATGAGCGACGGCGTCTACAGCGAGAAAAAGAGCCTGATCGCCGTGCTGCTCACCCTGCAGAAGCTAGAGCCGGAGGTTTACACTGACACCATGATCACGGCTTTTTGCTCGGTGAGGGATTCATTTGTTCGTTCAATTAATTTCACCGGAAATTCGACTGGTACAGACTACAGAGACGATGGTTCTCTATCACTGACGACGGTTTAACGGATTGTTTTTTGAAGAACCTATTCGGAGCTGGAACAGAGACGACCTCGACCACAGTCGAATGGGCGATGTCGCTGCTGCTGAACAATCCAGGTACACTCGAAAAGGCACGAGCTGAGATCGACGCGGCCGTGGGGCGCTCCCGCTTGATCAACGCGGGCGACCTGCCACGTCTCGGCTACCTCAGGTGCATCAACGCCGAGACGCTCCGCCTGTACCCGGCCGCGCCGCTGCTGCTCCCGCACAAGTCGTCCGCGGACTGCAAGGTCGTCGGCTACGACGTCCCGCGCGGCACGGCGCTGCTGGTGAACGTGTACGACATCCACAGGGACAAGGCTGTGTGGGAGGAGCCGGGCAGGTTCGTGCCGGAGCGGTTCGAGGGCAGGAAAGCCGAGGGGCTGTTCGTGGCGCCGTTCGGGATGGGGCGGCGCAAGTGTCCCGGAGAGGCGCTTGCGCTGCAGACGGTTGGGGTGGCGCTGGGGTCCCTGTCCCTGATCCAGTGCTTCCACTGGAGCAGAGTCGACGGCGTGGAGGTTGACATGAGCGAGGGCAGCGGACTCACCATGCTCATGTATGACGTTCTTCAGAAGCTCTGATAGGACGGACACCTTGATCGTTCACGGTGTGCACAATGCACTAAGTAAGCTTCTCCTGAGCATGTTTCAGGTCATCAAATGAAAGACATGTTTTAGACTGACTGACAGAGAAAATTATTAAGAATAGAAAAGGACTAAAGAAGCGTCTAATTCAAGCATGACAAGACAAGCAGCTATCTCTGTTTGGCCCAGGCGAAATGGACTATGGTGATTAATCGCAGAAACGTACATCTACAACATGTGGCTTGTGGCAAACAAAAGAGGCCACGATGGAACATTCATGATGATGTACACAGGGTAACGCCTTTGTGTCAGTAAGGTATTTTCAACTTTTGGGTCTTCTGCGTCACAATAGGAAGTTTATGGGCAATAAGATTCGGGTCCGCGTACGCTGCAGAGTCTGAAGGATATCCTTTCTGCATTATAGAAAAGAGATGAAATATGAAAATATTCTAGCAATGTCCTCAACTTAACCTTATTGAAAGAAGGTGCTTGGTAGAGTGATAGCATACCGCAGACAAACTAGCAAATGTTGCTTCCCTCCAGCAACATTCACGGAGTACCACTGGTTTGGCTCCATTGCCATTTCCAAACGAACAATGTAAACGAGTGTCTCTCAATCTCATAAGTACACCATCAACTCTAAGCTGTTAGGTCGACAGGCAATCATCAGTAAGGACAAGCTGGTCATATATGAAGATAAGAATCTTGAAAACCTACATATGTCAAAAACTTGCAACTTAAATGTGGGGGGGACACTGTTACACGCTTATTACTCAAACATACGTTTGGAGGATCTTCAGTTCAAGCTTAGGCCTCAATAATTAATATACAACCTTTCAAATGTTCTATCTTTTCTTGTTCCATAGGATCGGTTTAGCCTAAGCCTACCCCAACTTCGTTTTATTTCAAAGGGATGAGCATAAAGTCAATTACAAGAGGAGTGAAGTTATTTATTGATCAGCTCTTCACAAGTTTTCCTGAAAAATCTTGGATTGATGAACACTGAGGGCAACAATCTGAATCAGTATTATCACTATAATTGTAACAGGTTCCATCCTATATGCGACAATACATCACCCTCATAAATTGTCTTCATACTAATGAGGCATCAAGTACAAAAATTAAAATGCAAGGTAGTAGAACATACCCAGAAACGCAAAAGCAGAAACCAACCAGTTGGCATTACCCTCTGCACATACACAACCAAGAATCCTATTAATGAGTAGAACCAAAAGACAATGTTGTCACAGACATTACAGTTGAGGAAAAAGGAACAGATAAGCATCATTGGGGATTGCATACCACTCGCACTGTAAGAAATGAGATACCATTGTCAGCTAACTCATCTTCATACAAGATAACCTACATACATCCTGTTAGGGGTAGACCAGTATCCAGATAAATTATGAACCATTTGTTCCATTGCCATACCTCGTCATAGAAAAGAATTGGCTCTTTTGCTGAAAGGGCAACAAGGTCAATCCGATCATTAGTATCCTCCCAACACAAAGTGCTGCATCCATCTAAACTTGTTTGTGTCTGGAAAATAAAATTGTATGAACAGGAACTATTTGTCAGTGGACTACACCAGTAAAAAAGTGAAGGGCAGGGGAACAAATATAAAACTTTGAAATCAGATTAAATTAATTCAGCTGAGATCAGGTCCATACAGTGCCTGAGTTCACAACCACAGCATCACTCCCACAGTATGGTGTCGTAAATGTATAGTCGTAATCAAGTATAACCTGGTCAGAAGGCTTGCTGCAAGAAAACATGTTAAAAGAACATGTGGTTAGGATTTTTTTAACAAACTCACAAGTTAAGAATTAACACATGATATTTTCACCATCTGAATTTTTTTCAGATAAGACCAATATAAACATCTCAAAGTGCGTGCTATTGTACTTCTCTTGAAATAATGCATGATACGGACAAAATAAAATCAATTTAACTATATTCATCCACAAATATGTATTTCTGATCAAAGCTTTAGAAAAAATTAAGACAAAATCCACTGCTTTGAAACAGGGTGGGTGATGCCAAGCTAATGCAACATCTTTCACCACAAATGCTCAGTGGTATGAATTGAGTAAAAAAGGAAGTACAGTTATAGATGACCTTCTGAACTTCCATTTTGCTGCAGCAGGAACCTCAACAGGTGGCAGTGTCTCTTTCTTCCATGCCTTGAGTGCATCAAGCGCATTAAAATGCAATTTGATGCCAGTTTGAGTATGTTGAAGGGACAAGAAACTCTCTCCGAAAACCATCTCAGGTAAATGTGTCGTTTGAAGTTCATCTTCAAAGCTGAAGAAGAATAGAGTAGACATTACAGAATTTAGCATTAGCTTTCTCTAAAAGCAATATTCATCTATTTAATACTGAAGACTTCACAGATGTAACACCAGTAGACACTGGATAGATCCAATATTACTAGCAGCCATAGTGTGCTTTAAAGTAGCAATGTTTTAATAAATCAACTATAAAGTTACTGTGCACATTTTTCCTGACTGAATGTAACAATAGAAAAGTTGATATACTGACAGTCTGACACCATTGGTTAATGATCAATTATCATTGGTGTGATCAGGGAGGATTCACAGTTCAAGCATCACCTCCAATCCCCACCATGTGGAAGTTGGATGCCAAGACAAGCATAGTGTAACAAAGTTGAAATATATATGAACTCCATGAGTGATGAATTAAGAACTAATGTGACATGAATAATCAGATCAAAGGGAGGGTCAGACAGACAGGAAAAGTACACACAAATTGATCAAATACGCTGCAGCGCTACTACTACGAACCCGAAGCTCTGCCTATTACGAGTCTGAGTCCAAGTTTCCGGTCTTCTACATAGACGAATCGAAAGGACGGGGAGCGTAAGGGCTAGGGTTTATGGTGGGGGTGGCTCGTACCGTTGGAGGGAGGCGGCGTTGAGGATGGGGCCTTTGTGGGACTGGATGACCCACCCCTTCACTCGCACGCCGCCGGGAATCGCTGCCGCCCCCGCTGACTTGAGCTCCGCGGCCGTCGGGCCCTCCCACGCCGCCGCCGAAGCCATCTGCGTAGTTTGCTTCAAGCTGAGGAATTCGCAGTGGCAGTGCTGCCCCCTTTGTACTGCAGCACCTGGCAGTTATTTGTCGACCGTCTGATAGAATCCGATGCCTATGATTCACTGCTACACGTCCACTACAGCGCTCGGAGCCTGGAATAGGCGAGGACGTGAGGTGCGAATTCGGCACGAATTCAAACGGAAACAGCCATGTTTTTAGAATTTATGTGGACGATTTGATAGCTATAAACGTTCCAGAAATGACCAATGTGGTTCTTGGATCAAAGTTCGCGATCCTAAAGGCACAGTCGCATATCCTATAGCTGCATGATTACAAACATTGCAAAGTACGTCGATTTACATGTATGATGTTGGATACGCTCTGTAGATATAACGAGCCCCTCCGTCTCTTTTTTTGCTTTTCGATAAGTACATTAATCTCGAGTTTAACCAAACATACATATAAATATTGATATTTATTATATAATAAATGTTATTATCAAATGTATTTTTATAATAAACCTACCTATAGAGGTATAAATATTAGTATATATATTTTGTAAACCTAGTTAAACTTTTAAAAATATGACTTAGTGGGACAGGTAGTAAAACAGTCAACAGCATGACCAAAGTGATCGATCTCATACGCAATCAGAGTGGCAGTATGTGCTGTAACTGGTTACCGGGGTGGCGGGGTATAGTGGGTGACCATCACTCAAATTTCATCAAGCTGGTGCTCCGCAGAGCTTATAAAATGTTCTAAACATCTTTCGGGCATTACCGCTCGATGTTTATCGTCAGAAGAAATATAAGTTGTTGGTATTAGTATACACACTGGGAGTTTATCAAAGTAAACAGATAATGATACAAGCTAGTATAACAAATACATTCAGCACAAGACAAAAAAAAAATCATGTGCTGGTCGTGTTGTAAGCCGCGTCTGCAGAGGACGTATCCATGTCATTCAGGCCAAGTTCCTCATTCTGCTCCCAACTCCTCTGATACTCCTCCACTGTAATCCACAAAGAACACGTTCAGTATGAGTCCGCACATCCTTTTAACTTGCAGTGTTGGGTATCAGGGGAGCACCATCGCGTATCTGAATTGTCGATAAGGTTAACTTACTGGTTAGCTGGCTGTCATCTTCTAACGAATCAGTAGCCGGGGCCACAAATGAAGCCGCCAATCCATCATCAATTATTAGAGTCCAGGCTTCTTGTAAACTTAAAAGCTGGTAAAATACATTGACAAATAGTATTCATTAGGGTAAAACCTCCATTAAGCTATATAGAGAAACAGAGAGAGAGCAAAGAAATTACCTTGGATAGTCTCTCCTTGAAATCCTCCCATTTCTTCTTTTTCCATTCGAGTGTGCTATCGCCCAATTGGAATCCATGTATTCTCTCCAGAGCTGTAAATGAAAAAAAAAAGGGGGAAACAAAGACACATGTCAGATTCAAATCCTCTTCTGAGCTTCAATAAGTGTGTGCATTCCATTTTGGCATAAAAAAAGAGAGGATGGGTGAATAAAGTGAAGCAGACCTACCCTCGCATATTTTCACAATTAAACCTTCAACAGTTGTGACCATACCACCCAACGTTCCACATGAAAGCTCCAACTCAAGTTCAGGGACTTTCACGCTAGCTGAATCTGACTGAAAAACAAAACCCAAATAAACAAAGTCGTGCATTAGAAGATGGATCCTGTCTAACAAGTTCTTTAGTATATATAAGTATGTGGCTCCAGTAGAATCACAAATTATCAATCTGTGTAATGAACAAGGTAAAGAAATGCCAACATATTAGAGTAATGTTCAGGGGAGTCCACATTGCACACTGAGAGAAGCCAAAAAGGACAGCACAGAGTTAGATTCTGACTCGCAAGTTGCAAAATATATTTTACTTGACAGTACATCAGGTCATTAATGTCAAATAACCTTTTCCCTTACCTAGTCCAAGGGTGAAGCTACCTTAAGCTGCTACCAGGGCATATTGAACAAATTCAAGTTGTTGCTATCTATTTTCTACCGGTTAAGCACCCCCATGCCAACAAGCTATGGACCCACCAATCCAGAAGCAAATCACTTGGTTGGGCTGCAAGCTCGGCCCAGCAACACCATGGGGTCATCCATTATGTATGCTGTGCTCCGGTCAACCTATGCTCCCCTATGCCTTCACTCTCTGCTTCGGCAACACAGGGCGTCCAGTACCCATTTTGGACTTTTCTAGCCTTGAACCACTGGCAACGCCTTTTTTCTAACTAATTCTCTATCTTGACTTTCTGCAATTTAATTTAGATGCTTCTTAGTTAAATTTTGATGAAACTGTAGGGTTTGGGCTTGAAACTGGGGCTTTCTAGAATGTGTGAAAAAATTGCAGTCTGCATGGGACTCCTAGTGTAAAATAAACTTCATTATAGTGTCAAATAAACTTCTGGAAGCATTATACATGTTCCAATTGACCACTGTAAATCCCATATGTTATATCGATGGTGCGAATTTTGACTGAAACATTAATATTAAGTACAATGTTGCCCAGGAGTTATGTATAGTTCGCTGAAACATTACTACTAGTTCTTTATAGAGAATTGAAACCTACAGTACCTTCAAATTTAAGCTTTTGAGAAACTCGAAATCAGATGACGTATTTTTTTATTTAGCCATCACAGCTTCACTAACTACACTATTTTTCTCATTGTTTGGCAATTTTTTTTGGTACAGGGCGCTTGTATTGAACTACTCATTAAAAACGGAAGTTGTATTATTAGGCAACATATACTTGTGATAGCATGGCGCACCCCTCCCTGGATTTTACTCTAGATTTGTCCCTGCCTAATCATATGATCATCAATCTCATGCACAGGCATGCAAGTTGTTGTAAACAGGAAACATCCAAACCTTTATGACATCACGAGTAAGGTCTCGTGCGTTTTGAACAAGCAGTGTAATTTTCTTTCCCTTCGCTGGAATTTCACCCCCAGGCTTCAGCTGATTGAACAAAGAGGAAGAGAGTTTTGAAATAAAAGTGTCAAAAGGCGCCAATCAGGTAACTAAATCTTATTTACAAAACAGTGGTAGGACAATCAAACTGACCTCTGAATTGCGATAACCACACATGTCACATGTTGTCGCCATAACAATCACCTCCTGGAAATATGGGATTTCTAGCAAAGGTCAAGGTTCACATACTTTTTAATTGCAGTGTTAAGCAGCAGACAGGGATCCCAAAATGTTCTGTTCCTATATTCAAGAACCTAATCAAAGGGTTGCAGCTATGTTTCAGGTCCTGGAAACCTGATATATCCCTGCAAGCATGTTTGGTAAATCCAACCAAACGATGCCTGTTTAAGTGGTGTGAAGCCATAAACCATAGCTCCAGCTAGAAACCATCCAGAGAAAAGAAGACTTATGTCTTGTTCAATACCCAATGTAACCCCATCCCAAATAACAATATTCACTGGTTCAAAAGTGAAATACCATATCTGGATCAACCAACAATGGTAAAATCTTAAAAAAACAGCCTGGGCAGGCCACATATCAGGAATATTATAACTCTGGCATAAATGTAGGATTCAAAATCAACAGAATCACAGAGACCTGTTGATAGGATTACGGATCCTACCGCGTAGATCACGGAGTCTGTAGGGATGAGAGGGAGGTGGAGCAGGCTGGAAACCTCGCTGCCGGCGGCTGGACGCCGTGGTGGAGGATGGGCAGCTGCGGCTGTAGCCCTAACCCTCGCGTAGCTACAGGAACGGCGACACTGTTCACGCGTGAACAGTAGATGCGGCTAGGGTTAGGAACTCCCGGCTCCCAGGGGAAGCCGGAAACAATAGATTGTTTCTGCTTAATTATCCAAATGTCTTACAAGCCATATATATAGCTTTCACAAATAAGGGATATATCTAATAAATAGGCTAAATAATAGATAATATGGGCTGTTAGCCCCCTAATGCCAGCGCACAAGCTCAGCCACTAATGGGCCTCCGCCTGCTATATGTGACGCCGGTCATAACATCTCTCCCCCTGCGCACAAAAAAATGCTCGTCCTCGAGCTGGAAGTCGAGAAGTGGTCGCGAACTCGTCGAGGGTTTCCACGTGGCGTCGTCTTCGAGGGAGGCCGTGCCATCGATCAACACCTGCCACACACCACACGGCGCCAAGCGCCACGAAGAGCCCGCTACCGGAGCAGAAGCGACCGGCCATCCATGACCGGAGGGAGACCGGTCGGGTCGCTGGAGGGTCGCCATGCGGTGAGGCTTCGAGGAGACCAACGTGGAAGACGTCGTGGATGCGGGCGTTCTCGAGCAGGTGGGGCGGTCTGATGCGACACGGCCAATGCGTTCCAACACAGAACGGACCAGCATAGCGAGGACCCAACTTGCGCTTAGCCCGCGCGGGTCGAGGGATGTCGCGGTCGCGGTGGAGGCGCAGCGCACCACACCCAATCGCCCACCGAACTCCACATCGCGGTGGCGGCGTCGTAGTACTTCTTGGACAGTTCTGCCGCTGCTAGAGTCGTTGGCGCACTCTCTCGCCAAAGACTCATCGCGGTCGCGGAGAAGGCTATCGACGGCGTCGGTCCTCGCCGACCCCTGCCTGTATGGCAGAATAGGCGGAGGAGGGCGGCCGTACACCACCTCAAAGGGAGTCATCCGAAGGGCCGTGTGGAAGGAGGTATTGTAGCAATACTCCGCCCACGACAGCCAGTCCACCCACGCCCTTGGCCGGTCACCTGTAACACAACGGAGATACATGGCAATCACCTTGTTGACCACCTCCGACTGGCCGTCGGTCTGAGGATGAAAGGCGGTGCTCATGCGAAGCTTGACGCCCGCCATCTGGAAGAGATCCCGCCAGACATGGCCAGTGAACACGGGGTCCCGATCACTGACGATCGACGAAGGGAATCCGTGGAGCCGGACGACGTTGTCGAAGAAGGCGCGAGCGACGGAGGTAGCCGTGTAGGGGTGCCCAAGCGCAATAAAATGCGCGTACTTGGAGAAGCGG